TCGTTCTTAGAGACGATGTGGTTTATATGAATGTACTAATCACACAGAGAAACGACATAATATATATGGATTTGGCTGTAATACACAGACAAGCATGGTTTACCTGGATTAGAATAAAATTAACCAACTTTCAAACAACTAAACTCCATAAAGTAAAGTTTTGCGTGTAAAGTGTTTATGTTAGTAATAACAAACAATGTAATACAATGTATTACGTATAATATAGTTGACAGACTACAATGTATTACGTATAATATAGTTGACAGACTACAATGCATTACCTATCATAGAGTTGACAGACTACAATGTATTACCTATAATAGAGTTGACAGACCCCAATGTATTACGTATCATAGAGTTGACGAACTACAATGTATTACTTATAATATAGTTGACAGACTACAATGTATTACGTATAATATAGTTGACAGACTACAATGTATTACGTATCATAGAGTTGACGGACTACAATGTATTACGTATAATAGAGTTGATAGACTACAATGTATTACGTATCAACACTAAATCCATTGCCAAAGATGTGTTTCGCACAATCCAGAGATCTTCAGGCTGACTGGGATACAACAAACACAGCAATGGTCGGAACGTCAGTTATATAAGCCATTTGATAATTGTAATCATTCTTCGCCAGCTTGTAAAAGGCGTAGACACCATAACAACTGTTGTCGTATTCGCCACAAAAAGTTATGTTCTTATTTTTAGAACTAATGTTAACATGGTATTTTTTGCAGCAAACATATGGAGATCAAGAACAACAAAATGCTATAATACTTTTAAAGTGAAAACAACTATAGATCTGTTAATGATTTTATCAGCCAAACAGACTGTTAACAATGAACTGATAAGTTCTTCGACAGTTCAGAAACGCTGTTTTTTCTGTTAAAAATAGAAATAATTAAACAAACTAAACTTTACCTTGCTCTGGTAAGAAGTTGATATTAATTCGGAAGAGATGAATTAGTTGTGAAGTAGGTTGTAGTGTTTTACTGAAATATAACATTAAAATGTAATCTATAGGTTAACTTGGTTACTCTAGGAACATGCTTTTTTGTTGTTTTTTTCACACACGATATTTTTTATCTTAAGATATTAATGTCGAAATTTATTGAAAGCTCAAATTTGGACAAGGGTTGGAATACTACTGTTATTATACACTCTTCTAATTCTTGAAAATTCCCCAAGAACTAGATAACGAATGTAGTGTTTAATATAAATGTAATAGGCCTAATAATAATGCCTTATGACAAGTATAATTGTGCGTAGTGTGAATATCACATCGCATTCACGAGTTGTTGTCAGAAGAGGATTTTATCACTGTTACATCGGGTGAATACCACATTGCATGTATGTATTGTTGTCAGAAGAGGATTTTATTAGTTATATAGTGTGAATACCACATCATGCATGAGTTGTTGTCAGAAGAGGATTTTATCACTGTTACATCGGGTGAATACCACATTGCATGTATGTATTGTTGTCAGAAGAGGATTTTATCACTGTTACATCGGGTGAATACCACATTGCATGTATGTATTGTTGTCAGAAGAGGATTTTATTA